CATAATAGTCTGCGGTTAATCTCCATTCTTCATTAGGCTTTCATACTGGTCATATAAGACTGTTAAAGGGTAAGTAAGCCTTGCTAACCACTCCTTAGCTCTCTAGTTGCCACATTAACTTATGGATGGGATCAACATAGTCTCAGCTGGTATGTCAGTGCACTGTTTTAGCAGCAGTTGACACCTGCTGGTCTTCAACCCTTAGCTGAAAAGTAAAATCAATGATTCTGTTTTAGCTCAAATCAAGCTCGTTTCTGAAAAGGAAAATGTGTCTGTGATCCAAGAATGTGCACCAGCTCCAGCAGCCTTACACGGTTCAACCATGTCCCCAGAGCAACATGGTTTGTCTTGGCAGGATGGTAAAGAATTGATAATAAGTGGGAGGAGGATCAATAAAAAAATAAATTTAATTGAAAAATCATTAATTTAATTTAGAAATGAAATCACCTTATAATAAAGCAGTGAGGTAAAATTCAATTCCTGCCTACAAAAATACTCAAAGAAATAAATTATCCAATAGGTCATGTGTATTCAGGCAACCACAACATAAAAATTACGACAAAGAGGGGTCTGCGTGAAAGGAGCAAATTATCAGTTTCCTCCTCTGACAGCGTAACACCTTGTCAAGGGCAGGTAACTGGATGTGGACTCCAAAAAGCTTCCATGCCCTCTCACCTGATATTCCCACAAAGAGGCTTATGGGGACTAGTCTGGATCACATTACCGATGGATGATGGAAAACCACTCCCAGACTCTCATTTGTGCTGGCGTCTCCTGTTACTTCTTTACTGACACAGTTATGAGGATCATTGTTCAAGATAGATACACGCCAGTTAGAGGCATTTGGAGAGTATGACTAAGAAGTTTTGAGAAAACATGGTATCTGAAGAAGGATTAATCATAGAGTGAATGGAGCTGTTGTTTAGGGTCAGGAAGAGAAGGCAGAAGAGCTGTGTAAGGGCCTTCAAACATCTACAAGGATGCTGCAAAGACACAGAGAATACACTTCTACTGTACACCATGTTGAGAATAAGGAGGAATGGACTTGGAGGAAATGCAGTTGAGGTGCTATGGAAGGAGGAGTCAGAGGCACTTCGAAGGAGAGCTATGATATCCTGAGTGAAGCAAGAGAAGGAATTGCAGAATGTGCCTCATAATGCAAAGAACAGAGAGCTTTAAATGAAGTTATCAGTTGGCAGATAGAGAAGAAGCAAAGGAATATGGTCCTTCACACCTCATGCAGTTGAGTGGTAGAAAGGACTGTAGATTTTGTAGGTGCCAAGGGCAGGGAGATATCCTGTGCATTTAAAGGTCTGGATTGAATCCTGCCTAGTGTGAATTACGCAGTCACTTAAGTCACATGTTTCTGAGCTCTTTGCTTTCCACAGGAATTACATCTGGCCTGCCTACCTGGCAGGTGTGAAAACCTCTCTGAAAGTTGACCAGGAATAGCACAACAAGTTCTTTTTTGGGAGACTTGAGAACAGCACCCTGAGGGTGGGCTTACCCTGAGCTGACCCCTGTCGCTCTCCTGGGGGGGTCCCATGTAGTCCTCAACATTTTCAGACAAATTTGGGAGCACAAGCAACTTGAAAATAAGTCCCCAGAGGCACCTTAACCATTTCATTTTAGATTTTTAGAAGAGCTGTTCCCCAATCTGAGAGGGTGACATTTGGAACAAAGACACCAGTGTGCGCTGTGCCTCCGTTCCAGTGGAAGCTGGCAGAGGTGGTACCGACCTCAATATTGCATGTAGGAGTGAGCACATAGCACACTGAATAATGACAAAGACGAGAGAACTAAGACAGGAAAAGTAGTAAAAATCCTCAGGTCTTCACAGCCTCTACTGAATGGGGGGTGCAGGGACCCTGTTTTACAAGACAGTTCTTCAAGGCAAAGTTGTGATGCCTTGGAGAAGAGCACGAGAAATCCAGTGTACCAAATACTCTTGCATTTCCTCTGGGGCAGCATTTCTTACAAGAGGCGCCTTGAACAGAGACCACCAGGTGACAGCCTCTTCCTCCCTTCATACCTCAGTGTCACCGTTTGTAACATCTTCCCAAGGGAAGGGTAATATTGAAGGAAGAGCGAGTCTGTAGTGATAGTCTGGAAGAGGCATAACTCTGCCAACTAAGTGGCTGTGGTCTCTAGAAATGGATAAACTGGTGTACATGTAGTTGTCACACTGACCTTTCACATGCAAGAACTTGCAACACATTTCACACAGTGGGTTTTGCTTCTCTTGGACTTCCCTGCATTTCTCAATGAAAAAAAGCATTTGGTATTTACTAAAACAAACCAAAGATGTTGTTCAAGAAGAGGTTAATATTTTCTCCATTACTTCTTCAGAATTGCAAGCTTTTAATTTTCACTGTTAGTAAGCACATTTATAAGCTAGAGGTGAGGCTGAGGGCTACAACAGAGCTTTCTTAGCTTTTTGCTAATTGGCTAAGTTGAAGGGATTTTAGAAAGGTACTTGGTATCAGCAGCGTGAACTACTACAGCTCCATCTCCACCAGCATACAACTCCACAAGCTTTTGCCAGCCAATATCTGGCCAGGAATCCTTGTCCTTGGGAGTGGAGTCCTGATGGAGGTACCATCTGGGCTCTCTCTTAGAGAAAGATGCAGTGAATCCATAAATTCATCAGAGTTCACAGGGAGGCCGGAAAGGAGAAGAAAAGAAAGCTGTATTAGGGCACAGAATAAGGCAATGACTTCACAGTCCATAGCTGTGAATAGCACATGGATAGATATGGGTATGGTATCCCTCGGCTTTTTCTGTGAACCCAGAGAGAGAGAGAGAAAGAGGAGGAGGATCTCCTAGTAGGGGACAGAGCAGCAGAAAGAGTTGTGTTATGGTAAGTCAGATGAGAAAAGTGGGAAAAGCAACCTGCCTGTTTTTGGGACTACCAGGAATGAAACGAACTTTGCAGAGAGCAGAAACCTGTGGAGCATTCTCGGGGAACAGAAATGCAGGAGGCTGATTTCAGGGTGCTGCAGGTAGCTATCTGGGTAAATTAGCAACAGAAGAAAGAAGAAATTGAAACTAAAATATCAAGAAGACTGAATACCTAACCCCAAGGGGAACTTACAACATGGGTCAAAGGTGCATGTGAAAGGAAAGGGAGGAAATATGAAGAACAAAGAAAGAAAAGGAAAAAACAAAAAATGGAGGAACATAAACCCTACAAACTGGAAGTCAGTGTTTGCCAGCCATTCTCAAGCTAGTTGTCATCCACCTACAATCAGACCTTTTTCAAACCTGTACCAGCTATACAAGCTCTGGACTCACAAATGCCATACAGAAATCAATGATACAGATGTCAAAAAACCCACTGCCTCAGCTGTGCAGATCTCTCTACTTGCTTGAAGGAAAAGTGTTCAAAAGAATTTATATAAAATACATATTCATGATATGTTTTGCTTTTCAGTAGTCTGCAGGTGGTTCAGTTCACTCTGTGCACCATTCAGACATGATGCCCTGGTTTGAGCTAAGCAGGACCAGTTCAGTGGCTGGCTCAGCCCTAACCCTCAATACGATTTGTGAAATTGCTATTCTTCCTCAGCCTGGAGTTCATTCGTGCTGCAAAATGAACCCATCATGCTCCCAGCCAAAAAAACTGCACCAATGGTGCAGATGTCACCATTACTCCAACGTAGCTGGCCATATATCCTCACCACGACACTTGGTGCTGCCCAGGGCATCCCATTTCATAGAATCATAGGATGGCATAGGCTGGAAGGGACCTTAGAGATCATCTAGTCCAACCTCCCTGTTTTGGGCAGGGACGCCACCTCTTGACTAGACCGGGTAACAGATGGGGACCGAGCGGGAATTGAACCCGCGAGCTCGGTGTTGGTCCTTGTCAGCACCGCGCTCAAACCACTGAGCTAACTTCTGCCCTAGAGCTTGGACACCAGCTGCTGCAGTCAGGGAGAGCACAGCAACAATGACTGAATGTGCCTCCTGTTGCAGCTGTGAGCAGGCTAGCTGGAGGCTCTGGACCAGAGCTGACGGTGGCAGTTATTGGAGCCAAGTGTGCCAGATGTGGGGCTGGGAGTGAGGCCATCCTGCCTCGTGCTCCAGATCCCATGCTAAAGCCTTGTGCCCTTGTGGAAGGGCAAGCACCTTATGTAGGGCCTGGCCAAAATGGGTACTTCTTCCGTGGGTCACTTGTCCACAGCAATGTGCTTTTTTTTCTTTTGAGCATTGCTCCTGTTGTTTTCCTGATGTTTCATACCTTTGGCCTTAGCTTCCGGAGTTGTGTAGTTTTGCTTGGGTATCCAAATGAGCATGTTAAAAAGAAGTAAATACTTTATATTATGGAGAGGGGAATGATACTGCCGTGGACTCCAGACTAAGAATAAACAACTAACCAGCCAACACTAAATAAAACAAAGGAAGTCAAATAGCTTGGAAGATCTAATTATTTTCAGTCATCTTTGTTACCTTGGTGTGTCCAATATTCTGCCCTTATCTTGAGGTCAATCTCCATCTGTGAGACGTTTCTCAGCCTCACTGTTCGCCAGTAACTGGCATGTCCTGGCCGCCAGCTGCCGTTTGTGGCCACGGCTGTGGCCAACTCATGTGGGTGGTGGAAAATCTGACTTAGAATGCAAATAAAAGGGACAAAAGCTGCCCAGCTGGATGGGTATGGTGTTCATTATTGCCCTCAGATATAAGTTAGTGCCACCCACCACCATTACCCAAGGACTTGTAGAGACAGCTCTGCTCAAAATGCCTCAGGGCTGCACACATCTAAAACCATCCCCTGTGCTCCCATCAGCCACCTGGTAACCCCTGGTCAGAGGTTGCAGCCACACCTGTGCCACTCACAGCTCTGTTCACCTGTCAGCAAGGAGGGAGGGAAGAAGGAAGAGCAGGAAGAAGGGGAGGGAAGGAGGAAGAGAAAGAGGGAGGGAAGGAGGCTGCATTTGATGGCTTCCTCCAGCAGCTAGAGCCGGAGCGACAGACAATCACCGTGGAAGAGGCCTGCAATGTCCTCAGCAACTTCCACCACCTCTTTGCCCAAAGGCCTGGCTGTCCTGACAACTTTCCCAGATGTGCTCTTCATTCCTGAAATCGTGAGTGCTAGCTTTCCCCTGGGGGAGGGCAGATGCTGCTTGTGGGGCACCCAGCATACTTCATGCTGGAGGTATCTGAGGGATGGGACTTGAGACAAAGCATCTGGTTCAGGAGCCACGCCAGATCTCTGAGTCACTGGAGTGTCTCAGGGAAGCCTGTGATGCCTAGCCTGCTCTCAGAGAAAACCACAGGCCCTGAGTTGGGGCTCTGAATTTCTCCTTTTGTCTGCAGTGGGTTTTGGTGGTCCCTCTGAAAACCTTTTGTAGTTTCTTGCCTAACAAATTTGAAAGGGTTGCCGATGGGTTTAAACTAGGTTGCAAAATTGAGCCAATTAATTAATTGGAAGATGATTTTAGCAGCTGATGTAGTCAGAGGATAAACTTCTTGCTTAAAGCAGGGGGTAGAGACTAGCTGAGGTAATTGGTTGCAGCAGCAAAGAGCCTAGGGTGCTGAAGCTGTACTGCTCATCCGCAGTGTTCCTGAGATGGAGGTGCAGGGTGCTGGACCTGGGTGTGTGGGCAACAGTGAGTGAGCAAAGGGCGAACAAACACCTTGTAACTTCTTCCGGTATTGTGATTTCATTGAGCAGGACAAGATCATTATCTTAATGGCTTTGCTGAGGTGATTAAAAATAATTGCCGTGACCACTGATTAAAAGGTGGAAAGTTTAACTAGAATCTTTTTCCTGTTTTCTCTGCTCCCATCCATGAAACCTGCTCTTCTCATAACAGTTTGAGAGGCTTTTTCCAAAGCCTGAGTGTTTCATTTGGCGTTGAGGGATTCGACTGGGTGTTGTAGAATAGCATTCAGATAATTTCATGCTGAAAACTTGAACTTTGCCTTCTGGAACTCAGTCCTTTCCTGTCACCCAACTCAATTCAAACTCCTGGGATTTTACAGCATTTATTTCATTCTTCTAGAGACAACGGTCAAGCAAAGAGGAATTGGGTTAAAGCAAGCGTTATCAATGTGTAGAGAAAGGCTTTGCTTCAGGTGCTACAAATGTGCTCTGGGGACTTGGCTTCCATGCCCAGGTACTGAGAGCGAACTCCAGGTTTCCTGCAGCTGTGTGAAGGAGAGTGCACATTCCCTGTGGACGTTCTGGCTGGGCAGATACTTGTCAGCCTCCCCTGCCACTGGGTTGTGTTAGTCCTAGTGCAGAGCATGCTGTTGGCCTCAATGTGGTTAGAGTGCTGACTGTGCCTTGAACTGTTTGCTTGCAATTCCTGTCTCCAGGGGATTTGGCAAGGCAGTTTTCTTAACGAGCAAAAATAAGCACCCTATCCTTTGGTTTGGGTAAGAACTGGAAATGTGCATCCTAAAGGCTCAGGAACACCCAGGGAAAGGGGAATGCTGTATAACCAGATTTCTCCATCTCTGGAGGTGTATGACTCTAGGTCATGCAGCTCTTTTATCTCCACTGTGTACAAAGGAGGCGGTTGCCTTGAATCATAGCTTTCAGAAGGACAGTTTCTCAAGCGTTGTGGGAATGTGAGGTCGCCTGCAGCAGTAACTACGAAAAAACACCCCAGCAAACAGACATTTCAAGTGCTAAGACGGTTGCAAAAATGCCAGAAGCTGCATCTCTGCAGCTGAGATGATTGGCATATCTGAATGTGCTCATTAAGAACTACCACTTTTATTCTGTGAGGCTGGGTTCAATTCTTGTCGTCTATTTTACCTGAAAAGCTTTCTGCGTATATGTGGAGCCAGGCCTGTGCAGAAAAGCTGAAACAAGCTGAAAACAGATGTTTGCTTTGTAAAATGCTATTTAAAATACGAGTTTTTCTTAGACTGCTGTATCCAACTTTCTGTGGGTTGTTACTGAAAGCCTCTTGACCCTTCCCTCTTTTTGACGACTCTGCTGAACAGCAGCACCATAAAACCAAAGTCAGTAATCAAACCTAAGTGAGAAATCACATCCTGCAGAAAGATGAGGAGTGGCAAGAAGTTAGAAGTGGTACTTCTTCCCCTGACCTCATATCTCACTCCAGTTGTGTTTGATTTTAATGGAGAAACTGTAGGGTTTTCCTCAGGATCTTTGTCTGCAATGCACTCATGGCGTCACCGTGTGAGTTACTACACGGGCTGGATTAGTGTTCAAAGTCTATGATTGTTACAAGAGCAGCACTTTGGAAGACCTGTTTTCACTCAGATATTTGCAAGTTCTCAACCACATCATTGATTTAATGTGTCAATTTGTGTAACGGCATCAATGAACTTTCCTACAGATGTGGGGAAACACAAATGATGTTACATTTTCTGAGTATCATAAATCAGAAACTTTTTTCTACTTGCAAAATGTCTCCAAAGAAATGGAAATGCTGAGAAAGGCTGGCCTGGGATTCGCTGATTCTAAGATCATTCCAATTGCCAGTGTATCTTTCTCACCTCTTGAGATTTGCCTGCAAATCCAAGACCAGCCAATGGTGAGAGATAGGTCCCCGCAGCAGCACTGATCTCCACAAAGTCTGGGTTCACCTGAGGAGCAACTTATCCCAGGATGCTGCATAGACTAAACTTTGCACAAGTTCAGGAAACAACTGAGCTGATTTGTAGCAGAGAAAAGCTGCTGAGTGCATTTTAATGCAAAGACAGCCCTAACAGCTCAGACATTCTGTAGTATTGGATATTGTGCTCTCATCCCCTTGTGTAGGAATCTGCTGGTGGGTAAAGAGTAGAACCTAGGTATAGCCGTCTTTGTGTTCCCCACTGCACCAGGAAGCACCAAGGCTGGCTGAGAGGAATGGGGTCCCACCTGCTACCAGACCAGCAGCTGGTGCCTCACAGAGCTCTGGTGTAGCCAACAAAGGATGACTCAAATAGCTGGAGCAGCAATACAAGCCCCTTTCCAAGAGGAGCTGGGAGACTCAAAATTACGTCCCTTACCTCAAAGAGTAAAACCAGACATACTACCTCTCTTCAACCTGTTCTCTCTCCTTTCAGGGTGATGTTTGCATGTGGCCTCCATTAAGGCCATGTCTATGACCTTTATGAGGCCACATGTATGTGCTGTTTGAGCAGGTGAGCTGGGTTTGACACCACTCCTTTCAGAGATCTGCCACACCGGGTATGACGCAAACATGCCTTTCTGAAATAAGCCTCTCTGCTTGTTGAAACCAGTCCTCAAAAATATCTGAACCAGACTCCCTAGCACACTGATGTGGGGAGGGTGTGAATGGCAGTGACACTAGGAGGCGGAGGTATAATGAGGATATTTTCAAGTCACTATGAGAGGCAGATGCTCCCAGCTAAATAGCTGGTTTCTGAGAAGAACTCAGAAGCATCCCTGGGCTATTTCCAAGTGCAGTGATACTGCCAAAGGCAGGCATGGTTTTTGGCTCTGCTCTGGATAAGCAAATTTATCCCATCTCACCTTCTCTCACACTTTCACTTGCAGGTCTTTGGGAGCCTTGTATGGATCCTGGTGGCATCCTCGAGGGTCCCATTACCCTACTTCCACGGCTGGGTGATGTTTGTCTCTGTGTCCTGCTTTGTCATGTCCATCACTCTCCTGTGCTTATATGTTGCTGGGGTGCATGGGGGCAGAAGCTCCTGGGTCACCTTGGTAAGTGGGTGTGACAAACCTCAGGGCCTCTCCCCTCCCTGGCATCAATGGTAGACAATTGTCTCCTTTGCTGCTACTGCACTCCAAAATGCAAGCTGGGGCTTGCTTGTCTGGGTTCCTTTATTATTATTTTTTTCCCCTTTGCAGTGTGCTTCCTCCTTGGAAATGACTTTGTGATCCTTGTTTCTTAGGATGTCATCTGCCAGGAGATAGCAGCTCCGTTCTACCTCAGTGCTGCTGTGTTGGAAGCTGGCTTCCTCAGCTTGATCTCCTCTAGCACTAGAAATATCATCTACCAGGAGAACGTTGCTGCTTCGGTGAGTGCCTGACAAGAAGGGGAAGGGAGGTGAGATGCTGATTGTGGAATGGCCTGAAGGGAAAAACTTTCCTTGCACCAATCATTCAGGGAGAGTGGAAACTAGTCCCACTTCTACTATGCAGGAATGTCTCCAAACATGCACGAGTCAACAGAAACCTAATGCATCACTAAGTGTTTGCTCAGTGCGGGAAGTCAGTACCATATAATAAAAAGTTAACTGGTTGATGTGTTTTTCCATTTTAGGTATTTGCATTCTTGGCTACCCTGGTATATGTGATCCATAACGTGTTCTCGCTCCAGCGATGGAAATCGTCCTAAGAGACTCCCCTTGCAAGTTTGTCTTATGGTCACCCCGTGAACACAGAAGTTGTTCAATGACTGCAGTTTCCAGGCTGGATTTGGGTTTTGTTTTCTACTGTATATGCTGTGAGCAAGCAGCTTTTAATGTAGGACCATAGCAATGAAGAAAAAAAAGCTATATCCTGGTACAGTCTGTTTCCTTTCAGTCTCTTCTGGGTTTGGTACAGTTTGATGCTGGTAATTGGGACCCAAAGAGAAAGACATCTAGCTTTAAAGAGTAATATAGAATCATAGAATGGTTTGAATTGGAAGGGACCTTAAAGATATTCTAGTTCAAAACTGCCTGCCATGGGCAGGGAGACCTACCACTAGATCAGATTGCTCAAAGCCTCACCCAGCCTGGCCTTGAACACTTGCAAGGATGATGCATCCACAGCTTCTCTGGGCAACCTATTCCAGTGTCTCACCACTCACAGAAGAGAACTTCTTAATGCCTGTGAGAAGTGCTCCCATTCTCACTTAGCCCGCAAATGCAATTAAACTGGATTTATTAACAAATGAAAGATCCCACAAATTTACACTTTCTGGTATTGGTTGAGAAGTGCTACACTATGCCCATCTCAGCCCTAGAATAATGATTGCACACAGATTTACCCATATAAAGATGAGGACTCTCAACCATGACGAGTTCCCATGGCTGGCATCCCAGACCAAGGAGAGGGCTCTGCCCCGACTGCAGGACCTGCTGCCCTGAAGGGGCTTGCCCACACGCGCCCCCAGCAGGACCCTGCTTTTAAAGCTCAGTCGGATCTGAGCTGTGGTCAGTCAAAGTCACATCAGCCTCCCGTTGGCTACCAGCCAACTTCTTGGGTGTGCACCTAAGCTGGTGGGCTAGACCCAAACTAGACAGAAACTTCCAGAAGTTTCTAGCAGTTTCTCTGAAACCTGCTTGGCAACTGCTGTGAGGAGAGGAAGAAGTTCTTCACCGTGAGGGTGGTGAGACGCTGGCACAGGTTTCCCAGAGAGGTGGTGGAAGCCCCATCCCTGGAAGTTTTTAAGACCAGGCTGGGTGGGGCTCTGGGCAACCTGGGCTAGTGGGGGATGTCCCTGGCCACAACAAGGGGATTGGAACTAGATGATCTTTAAGGTCCCTTTCAACTCTGACAATTCTGTGATCCCAGACTACAGGGAATGCACTTGCCACAATGCCTAAATCTAAATCTAAATTCTAAATCTACCCTGCTCTAGTTTCAAACTATTGCTCTTCGTCCTGTCGCTACATATCCTTCTAAGTGGTCCCTCCCCAGCTTTCCTGTAGCCCTCTTCTATAAGGTCTCCCCAGAGCCTTCTTTTCAGGCTGAACAACCCCAACTCTCCCAGCCTGTTCTTGTAGGTGAGTTGCTCCATCCCTCTAAAACTAGCTGAGCTCAAAGTGGTAAAATCTCCCTGAATCACACCTTTATGCCTCCAGAGCTGTTATTGCTATCAGAGGAAGCCTGAACAACCAGTACTAAGGAGCATGAGTATAAAACCGAGTCACTTTGCTGCCTATCCATGTAAGCCTGTTTCACCTCTGTAAACCTGCTGTACTAAAAGAAGATTTTCACACAGTCTCTGGAATTGCCATATGTGACTTGTGATGTGCGGATACCCTGCATTTTACAGCCAGCTGTGCCAGCAGCACTGCGTGATCTCTGTGTGTTAAGAGAGTATTGAAGGAGTACAGGAGCTGACAACAACCCTGGCGAAATAGTCTGGTCTCCTGCTCATAGCCCATAAATAGTGCTTCTTGCTAATAAAGTTTGTCTCTACCTTCTCTCGAGAGCTGAGTCCGTGCCTTTCGGTCTGCCACAAATGGTGCCCGAACAGGGACTTGAAAAATAAACTACTCCAGTGGTGGTTCCATGGTCGGACAGCTTGGGATGGAAAATAGATGGTGCATACTTTTTCCAGAGGCTGGGGTAAGCCTCGCAACCTGGTAAACACGGGGCAGTCTAGCTCCCAAGAGCACAAGCTCTACACTGAAGCATTACAGCGTATGTTACGGAAACAAGGATTTAATGTGCTGATTTCTCAGGTAGTGCAATTGCTTCTATGGGTTAAAGAATATTGTAAGTGGTTTCCTAGTTAAGGAAATTTTGTGATGCAAAATTGTGGGCAAAAGTTGGTGAGGAATTACAGACTACGAAAGGTTTACAGTTTAAGGTACAGGATGTGTTATTCATTATGTGGCGGACCATTTATACTGCTTTAACTGCTTTACAGCCTGCTGAGAAACACTTGCAAGTGGCAGGAACAACTGCTTCTGCTGAACTCCTAGTTTGTGTCGATCAGGGCATGGCGGAATGTGTTTGTGATAATGACCCTGGTACTATTGACCGGGAAAGGGAGCCAGATTTATAACCTCCTGTAAAGCCTTTTAGAATTATGGCAGCAGAAGCTCCAACGGCGGAACAAATTCTGAAAAATAAATCACCTCCACACCCTCCTGCCACCTCAAGGGACGACAGCGCTTGGGAAGTGCTGAGACAACAGAAGTGGAGGTCTGGCAGGTCCCCCAAAGTAGGAGGGGGACAGATGCCCTTCTGTTGCCTTAACTATACAGTGGCAATCTGGAGGAACTTCACATGTGTTAGCTCTGGTGGATACTGGAGCTGAGGTTGCTGTGTTACAGAGTAGTATCAATAATAAAGAAGTTACAGATCTGTGGAACAGGGGGAAAACCAACTTCTGCCCTTCGAATTAAAGTTACCTTAACAACAGGAAATGCCGTGCCATTTACCGTGACGGTGCTAATTGCCCCAGTTAAAGAATATATTTTAGGGATTGATGAGCAGGCAGGACGGATACTTGAAACCTTAAATGGTTACCTCTGCTTTGGAACTTCACAAACAGGATTTGCAAATCAACCTATAATTGCTTTGCATGGATTTCCACAGTGGGATCCTGGGATTCTGTCATTCTACCTGTACCCACTAAGGTCATAATTGTCAAATAGTGTCATATTCCAGGGGGTAGGAGGAAATTACTCAAACCGTTCAGGTACTTCAACAAGTGATGACAATGTGGCCATATGTACAAAAGTATCCTTTTAAAGTAAGGTACATCTCAGCTCATCAAAAGGACGAGTCATTTGAACTCCTGAGAATGCCGCATGGTTCTGTACCCCAACATCTCTTCTTATTTTACACTTTCTATTAATATCAGATTCCTGAGTTCTTTTCCAGGTTTCTTCGATGCATACCTGTGCTCCATCCAGAGGAAACAGCATTGGAACGGTGTTACTGGTGTCACGAACCAAACATTAAATTGCAGTTCAACCACAAAAAGCACAAGCCACAACTCTGCAATCTGTATGGGACGGGTATGGCCTCCACAAAACTGATGAATCAGTCTGCCTGAAGAATGACATTCAACATCTTCAGGACTTGATGCGTCAAATGAAAAAATCCACTAGTGATACCTGGCTGACATCGTGGCTGCATTCCCTGAGAGCGTGAAGGGGACACCTGATTTAAATTACTATTGTTGAACTGTGTTTATGGTTTTCTCTAGATGTATTTTTTGTGTGCCTTTGTAGATTACTTTCTAATATACCTTGCAAGCCTAAGCAGATATCTCCAGTTTTGCCAGCAAATGCAGTTTCTTGAGCGAGGGGAGTGGAATGTACAACTCAAAAGGTGTGCAGTAGACTGTAGGAGAATGCTATGGATGATTAGGGTAACGTCTTGAATAAGCAGAGGCAATTAGCTCTTGCCTTTGGTTCGTGGCCAGTCTCATGTGTACCAGCACTATGTTGCTAATGAAGATGGATTTGCTGTGATTTTGCAAACAGACAGGAGTGTTTCTGCTATTTTGTCTTTGCCTCTCACGGGCACACAGCCCTGTACAGCCTTAGGAGAACTGTACTGTAACAGGGCAATGCCTAAGGAGGAGGTATAGACTTCAGTGTGAGTGAGAGGGCTTTTCTGGCAAGGGGAGCCAGGGCTAGGGGCTAAGCCTCAGTGACAATGTTCACCTGAATGCTTAAATTACACCAGGGTTAACTTGTGAGTGTGCTCTTTTTGTCTGGGATAGAGTTAATTTGCTTTGTAGTAGCTGGCATGGGGCTGTGTTTTGGATTTGTGGTGAAAACAGCATTGGTAATTCAGGGATGTTTTTGTTGTTGCTGAGTAGTTCTTATAGAGTCAAGGCCTTTCTGCCTCTCACACCACCACACTAGTAAGTAGGCACTAGTAAGAGGGAGCACAGCTGGGACAGCTGATCCCAACTGACCAAAAGGATATTCTGGACAACATGACGTCATGCTCAGCAACAGAAGCTGGGAGAAATAAGGAGGAAGAGGGGACATTCAGAGTTGTGGCATGTGTTTTCTCAAGTAACTACCAGATGTGATGGAGCCCTGAATTCCTGGGGTGGCTGAACACCTGCCTGCTGATGGCAAGCAGTGAATGAATCCCTTGTTTTACTCTGCTTGCATGTGTGGCTTTTGCTTTACCTGTTAAACAACCTTTATCTCAACCCACAAGTTTTCTCACTTCTGATTGTCTCTCCATCCCACCAGGGAGGAGTGTGTGAGCAGCTATGTGATACTTAGCTGCCAGCTGGGGTTAAACTATGACAATGAGTTAATTTAAATGGAGTTTGGACCCAAGAAGGGGTGTTTTCTCATGTTAGAGGTGCCTAATAAAAGTTAGCCGTTCCAGTCTGTGGGGCAAAAAATACCTCCATTTGAGTACGAATGTCCTGGATACTAATAAGGACTAGAGAATGGAAGGGAAATAAAAGTTGACTTAGAGGCACCTCTGTTGCTTCAGATCCAGGGGGGACTTTTTTGAGCTATGACCATGGGTTTGGGGTGCAGCTTTTAAATTGCAAGGTGAGGAAAACATTTGATTTTTTTTTGTCGTTGTTTTTTCCCTTGCTCAAAACCAGCCTGACCTGTTTTGCTTATGTTAGTGTGATGGCAGTAAGCTGACTGAGACAGAACTGGAAAATGAAATCCCTTTTCACAGCAG